TGTGTGTGTGTGTGTGAGTTGAGAGTGAGGCTGAATGAAGAAGCTGGTGAAAAAGTCTTAGTGTATTTTATTTATTTATTTTTTCTGTGTGTGAGTCTGTGAGCGTAGACGGTGATTGAACAGAAGATCTGGTGAATAAATATAATGTCTGATGTGTATGTTCGTTCGTTTTTCTGCTCGTGTGTCTGTTTGTTTGCGTGGTGATGGAGATTGGAATGAGTAGCTGGTAAATAAGATTCGATGTGATAAATAAACAAACATACATACATACACACCCAATCTTATTCAACGAATCCTCTTTTCAGCCCCCCCCCCCTTCACATAAGCATGTCAACATAGATATAATTACTACTGTATGTTATTATTTTTCTCTCATTTGTAGATCAAGGAAGACGTGGCCGTGGGCAAGGAGGGTATCCTGGTGGTGGTGTCCGAGGGAGCCACAGACCGCCAGGGAAAACCCATCAAGGCGGAGGAGATCAGGGCTGTGCTCGCCAGAAAGCTCAACCTGGACACTAGGGTCACCGTGCTAGGTCACGTGCAGGTGGGTTTTACTGCCCTATCGACATAGCTTAGACCGGGGTCTTAAGGGCTGAGGAGATTTATTGGTCTGTGCGGCCAACAAGCTCAACTTTGACACAAGTGTTTGGTCACGTGCCGGTGGGTTTTGCGGCAGAATCGACATAGTTTAGACAAATTTCATAAGCGCAGAGTAGATTCATTTGCCTGTGCTGCCAACAAGCTCAACTTGAACATGAAAGTATTTGTTTTACAATTAGGCCGCGCGCAGATACGATTTAGTGTTGTCTTTTTTACACCCAAATCAATCTGAATTGGGCATAGGTGATCCATACTGTGGTTACCAACAAGCACAAACTTGACACTAGAATCAGTGTGCCGGGAAATGTGCTGGTGAAGGCATGTGTGTGGGGAAGATAGAGGGGTGGATGTATTACGCCTGCATCAATACAAATTTTGGTTTATGAGATCTGCAGTGTGCTTACTAACACGCTCTTAACTTGAACACGAGGTCATTGTTGTCGTGGTATATGTGTAGATACTGTCATATGTGTGCGTGTAGTGTGTGTCTGGGGTGGGTTTTTTATTTAGGGGGGGGGGTAAATGTTTTACGTCTTTATCTATACACATTTGGTTTAGAAGATCCGGGGTGTGCTTGCTAACCAACGTTCAACTTGAGCGTGATGTCTTTGTGGAAGGACATGTGCAAGGACGGCCATTTGTGTGTGTGTGTGTGTGTGTGTGTGTGTGTGTGTGTGTGTCTGTGTGTATGTGTGTGTGTGTATTTGTTTGTTTTGCTCTGTTTGTCTCTTTGATTATCATTAGTGTTTTTGGTTGGATCGATATTTTACGGAAGTGTCGACACAGTTTAGTTCACTGTCTCATGCCCCGTGCAGATGGGTTCAAACATGTCATGATTGTTGTACAGCCGTATCAACACAATGATTAGACTAGAGTGTTATAAAGGCAACATGATTAAAACATTTAAAGGCAACTTTTTGATTTGATAAAAGTTATCAAAACTAACAGAGCCACTCAAAAGAACAACAACAACGACAAGAGCAATAATAACAGCAACAACAACAACAACAACAACAACAACAACAACAACAACAACAACAACAACAGCAACAACAACAACAGATGGCAATAGCAATAAAAACAACAAGAACAATAACAACAACAACAAAAGTTTTGCTACAAATCTGAACCTGTGGGCAATCGCACTTTGTGGTTTAAAACTGAACCAAGAGGCGTGTAAGTGGGTGAGGGTTTGGGGGTTAACAATCAACCACATTTTCATCATTTTTTTCACGTCTTCTCCCCGCAGAGAGGAGGCATCCCGTCCGCCTCCGATCGCTATCTGGCCTCTCGGATGGGCGCTGAGTCTGTCCTAGCCCTGAGGGACCTGCCCGAAGACATGAGCGCATGCGCAATCGGCATGGTGGGCAACAACGTGTCGTGTCTGGACATCGGCTACTGTCTGGAGAACACGGAGAAGGTCTGGCAGTGCATGCTGGACAAGAACTACACAGAGGCTGTGCGGCTTAGAGGGAGGCTGTTTCAGGTAAATGCCACGGCTTCGAAAAGATAAGATGAGGTCAGATGAGATCAGAGACGATCAGATAGATTAATACGACAAAAAATCAGAGCAGATGATATTAGAATACATTTCACTGAACTTGCCATTGAAACTCCATTGAACAAAGATGAATTTTTGTTGTACTTTATCCAGCTTCGGCTTGGGTTTTACTTTCTCCTATTTCCTCTTGCAGGTCTCCACTATCAAAACCGTTGTTTTTTGCCCTTACAAACTTTATTCAGCTCCGGTAAACAGAGATCTTTTTAACGACGTCCCAGCAGACAGACGGGCGTACTCGGTTTAAAATAAATAAATAAATAGAATAAAATAAAATAAGATAAGAAATAAAAACAATAAAGGGTGGGGGGGGGGGGGTATGAGGGTTTTTATTTGGATAATGACAACTGGATTTCACCTTTTTAGAATAGAGGCCATCTTTGTTTTGTTCTGCTTCGATGTTTTGTTTTCTGGCAAAAGCAGAAGCTACAATTCATCTCAACCAAAAGGATCTAGACAGAAGAACTACAATTGTCCCGCAGTAAATTCTGCGCAGAAAGTGTCGCTTACTTCAGTGTCGCAGCCACACGGGGCGACATTTGACGTAACTGCTCTGTTCAACATGGACGATCGGAAAATCAGGGTGGCTTTTGTCATGGTAATCAGAAGAATCTTTTTAAAAAAAGAAAACGACAAAGATTTTGGTTTCATCTAATTGTTTTTTAAATATTTTTTTGTGTTTATATTCCTCACTTGTGTTTAGCCAAATGATGTTCCCGCTCTATCTTTCCAAAATCATCAAACGCTCTGTTTCGTGATAAGAAGACATGGTTGCACTAAGAGAATTGTCGTGTAGAAAAAAAGCGAGAAAAAGCTCAGCAGTTGTAAGAATGCGCCTGTAATAAATACATCTCGTGTGTCCGCGTCCCTTGAAATGTGTGCTTCACCAAAACGCTGGTGTGTCGCGGAGTAGGAAAAAGTGGGCGACACACGTCTGCTACGCCAGGACGGAAAATAACTCCGCCTGTCGCTCGTGTGACCGTTCCAATTATCTACAGTGTATCACCAGACTGTGCAGTAATTCCTGCTGCGTTTTTTACATCTGGTCAGTCAAGGTCCTTGCACGCCTTTCTTCTATTTACTTAGCAGATGTTTTGTTCAGCCTCAAATTGACGAGAGTGGGTGGTTGGCGGGAGTTCAGATGTGGTTTGCTCCTACTTTCCTATCAAACATCTACCGTCTTTATCTCTCTTCCTTCTTTTTTATGTTTGTTACTCTCTCGTAACATCTCTAATTTTCGACACTTATATGACGTTATTGTGTTGCAAGTGCCGTTAAACTCTTGCTAAAACAAAACTGACGGGCGATCTATTATAACAATATAAAAGGCCTTCAGTCGTGTTTTGTTCATCCTTCGCATTTCCCCGCTTCTTCGTCCTTCAGTCGTTCCTGAGCAGCTACGCCATCCTTCACTCACTCCGGCCGGCGGCTGTGCTGAGCATCCCAGGGATGAGCGGTGTGAGAAAGATCGGTGTCGTGAAGATAGGCAAGACCACGCTCGGACACTGCTGCGTCACCAAGTCCGTGGTGGGATACTGTCTCTCCAAGTAAGTCTTCCGTCTGTGTGTTTGTATGTCCGTCTGTCTGTCTGTCCATCTGTCTGTGGTGAGATAAAGTCTCTCCAAGTTTGCCTCTCCGTGATATTTTGCTAAGCTACACGTTTAGTACATGACAAAGAGTGAAATAATGGTAACAGCATAAGGGCCAGTAATACACTTATAATTTTTTAAAGGACGAAGAAACCGTGGTCATTTTCTCTCAATCTTTCCTTCCAGAGAGTACCTAGATCCTGGGTCGGGTTAAAATGTAGTCAGATCCTAGCAACAATGCTAAGCCATTGAAAGCTCTCTCTTTCTCTCTCTCTCTCTCTCTCTCTCTCTCTCTCTCTCTCTCTCT